ATATAAACTTCATCATGGCTACATGATAATATAAACTTCATCATGGTTACGTGATAATATAAACTTCATCATGGTTATGTGATAATATAAACTTCATCATGGCTACATGATAATATAAACTTCATCATGGCTACATGATAATATAAACTTCAGGATGGCTACATGATAATATAAACTTCATCATGGTTACGTGATAATATAAACTTCATTATGGCTACATGATAATATAAACTTCATCATGGCTACATGATAATATAAACTTTATCATGGCTACATGATAATATAAACTTCATCATGGTTATGTGATAATATAAAATTCATCATGGCTACATGATAATATAAACTTCATCATGGCTACATTATAATATAAACTTCAGGATGGCTACATGATAATATAAACTTCATCATGGCTACATGATAGTATAAACTTCATCATGGCTACATTATAATATAAACTTCAGGATGGCTACATCATAATATAAACTTCATCATGGCTACATGATGATATAAACTTCATCAAGGCTACATGATAATATAAACTTCAGCATGGCTTCATGATAACATAAACTTCATCATGGCTACATGATAATATAAACTTGAAGATGGCTACATGATAATATAAACTTCAGGATGGCTACATTATAATATAAACTTCATCATGGCTACATGATAACATAAACTTCAGGATGGCTACATGATAATATAAACTTCATCATGGCTATGTAAAAAAAATATCCTGCATACCACCTGTACCAAAGTGCAACGCTTATGATTCTTATCATTTTAAATATATATATATTGGAAGCTGCAATTAAGATAACACAATATTGGAATATATTATTCCTGATGAAATAATAATTTCAGATACAATTTCTTTCGACAATTGCATCAAAATTCTTTGAAGTTTTATCATTGGGTACGTTTTAACTGAATCATGGGTAGATTGGGAGGAAACGTGTGCACAGCCGATTGCTATTTCTGGTTTAGTTTACGAGAAAATACACATGGTAATCTTAATCTCTGCATATAAAACAGTGCCTTGGAGAGCAGGAAAAACAATTTGAATGGTAAATCATCATGTCTAGTAATGTTTTATGTCAAATCTAATACTTTTATTGACCAAGTTTGTTATACCTGTTTATTCACCTGAAGATGCTGAGGGGATACGATGTGCATATTTATACTCGATAAATTTTTCTTTACACTATGAATCATAAACAACTTCTATTCTAATCTATCTCTTAAACTCTGAAATGTGCAACGTAGATTGTGTTAGGTAGGCAGAGCATGTACTGTTTTGTTGGTCATCTACCACCTACAACTGGACCTTCATTAAACCGTTGATCATCTCTAATGCTCATCAATTATTTGGACCCCGAAGGTAGCATTGTAGCGAGGGAACACTGTAGTTGAGAATGGGGTCATTGCACATGTATACCGGTAGTTTCATGCAAACATATCCATTAGTTTGGCAGTTATTGCTTGGAAATGAACCATAGAGTCCTTTGAGAGTTAGTCCAATTCGATGAGCAATGCATATGCCAAGTTTCGTTGAAACATGTTAAACTGTTTTTAAGCTATGGCCAAGAAACAAATTCTACCCTCATTTGATAAGAACATAAGAACAGAACATTTAGAAAATAGCACATGTGACCATTTAATCTGACGAGCAATGTATATGCCAAGTTTCTTGAAAATCATTAAACGGTTTAAATAGTCTGGCATTTGTCAGGTCTACATATATGCATCCACATGATGTTTATTTCTGTTCTGCTGCATCTACTTACTTACTTTGGAGATTTAACGTGCGCTTTCCGACTGATGCGTATTTCGCACAGGGGCCCGGCCAGGCCATTTAATGTGTTTCCGAAAGGGGCAAAAGTGGTCTGTGCAACCCAAGAGGGGGGTTTAGGGGTTGCTTATATAGAATATGGGAATTTTGAGATTTGGAATAGATGTCGATGGGGTTGGGGAGGAGAACTAAGGGAGCTGGGTATGGTGGATGTTTGTTTGTTTATGTGATTTTGATTTGGTAGGTTATTGTGTTTTTAGATGCGTTTTATTAGTTCCGTTTTGATTAAGAATACGCCTAAGGCCTTGAAGTTTTCTAGTTTATTTTGTGGGTTTAGTATTGCTTCTAGAGTGAGAGCCTTGTTTAGATTGAGGGTGGTTTGTAATGCGGTTCGATGTATTAGGTAGTGTGTGCAGTGGATGAGTGCGTGTTCTGGGGTTTCTGGTTGTTTGCAGTGTGGGCAGTTACCTGTAGTGTGTTTTTTTATTGTTTTTAGGTGGTTATTTAGGTTGGTGTGTCCTGTTTGGAGTTTAATGATTACTCTGTCGATTTTTTTGGATGGATGGAGAATTTTTGGTTTGGTTAGTGGTTTGCTGAGCACTTTTTTGATTTGGCTATTTGAGTTTAGATATAGGTTATGCCATTTTTTTGTGATTTTTTGCTTGTTTACACTTTTAATTTCTGATTTTGAGATGGGTAAGTTTAAGCTTATTTCTGGGATTTTGAGGGATAGTTTAGCTGCTTTATCGGCGTTTTCATTACTGTATATTCCTACGTGGGCGGGTATCCACAAGAAGGTTATTTGTTTGCCTGCCTTAGTTAGGTCGTTGGAGCTTTAAGTATTTGATTTATTAATTTAGGTCGGTTTTTGGTATTTTTGTTTTGGAGGGCTTGCAGTCCACTTAGGGAGTCGGTAAGTATTAGGATTTTTTTGTGGTTTTTGGATTCTTGATTATGGAGGGCTGAGGCCATGCCCATTAGTTCTGCCGTGAATATTGATTGGTTGTTTGGGAGTCGGAAGGATTGTGTGGTTTTAGTTGGTTGTGTGGTATGGACTCCGAAACCTGTGTGTTTGGAGGTCGGATCTGAGGATCCGTCCGTGTAAATGTGACACCAATTTGGCCAATTTTCGTGTATGTATGCTAGTGTGGTAGTTTTAGCTATGTTTGTGTCGGTTTGTTTATTTATTTGGCTAGCTAGTGTTGTGTCTATGTTGGGTATTTTAAGTTTAGGGGTGAAGATATTTGATTGTTTGCAGTTTTGTTTAAGATTTTTAATTTGGTGTTCATTTAGGTAGTTTGTTATTCTTTGGGATATTGGGGTAAGTAAGGGGTGTTTACGAGCTAGAGCTTGGTTTTTGCGGCTGAGGTTTTGGTTTATTAAGTTTTGGATGAGAGGGTTTGATTGGGACGCGGCCAAGAAATTTAAGCTTAGCTGTTCCCTGCGTAGACTTAGTGGCATTTCTCCTGTTAAGGCCTGAAGTGAGGTGTAGGAGGTGCCATGTTGGGTGCGTGTAATTAGTTTGAGAGCTGCATCTGCATCTGATCCAGTCAGGTTCATTACTACATTGCTCAGCTTTCTGATACACTCACTAACAATGTTATTCAATACATGTACTGTGATTAGAACACAATGCAGATTTGTATCAAACATATCGCAATTTGTAATCACACTGCATTCAAATGATGATACATGATGCACATACAAGAAGATCTTGTGACAGCAAATTGTCAGGCTTGGGTATTGACTGTCCCAAATGTTTACATTGAAGCCATCATTACTTTTTTAAAGTGATATTAGTGACAGACTTTACTTTAATTGAGTCAAGTCATTTAATCATGGCAGCATTTACTCAGGCTAATCAATGGTTTCCTGCCTTTGATGTTTCACGTCGTATCATATTTACACCATTAATAGGGTGATTAATAACTGATTTTACTCATGGGAATTCCACAAAACCAGTTTGACACATCTGGGTTGAAAGACTGATGAAAATAGTAAGAGTCTGACAGGATCAGACTGTGAGTTTGACACAGCTGGACATCGACAGATGCCACCGAGTCGGTAAGAAAAACATGGATAGGAACAGACAGGTCATCGTAAAATATTGGACACAGCCAGGGATTTGACACAGCCGGGGATTTGACACAGCCGGGGATTTGACACAGCCAGGGATTTGACACAGCCGGGGATTTGACACAGCTGGGGATTTGACACAGCTGGGGATTTGACAGAGCCACTTCAACACTTTTGGGTTAAATAATGATACATTTGTAAGAGTTTGCCAGAACAAGACTGTGAGTTCGACAGAGCCTGGGATTCAACATAACCAGTTTGACACATTTGGCTTAAAATAGTGATAAAAATAGTACGAGTTTGCCAGGACCGGAGTTAAACATAACCAAGGATTGGACAAAAACAGAGTTTCACAGGTACAGAAGCTCACCTTTATTCAGTGGCATAACAGTCATAGGTTTGTGCCAAACTAGTTACATGACAGATGAGATATAATATCCAATAATTGGACACAATGGTGTTTGGGGTTTTTATCTTCAAAATTAGCAAACAGTTTTGTGATACCTTTTCATACATTACCATATAGTTTGCTTTACATGTTGACAAAAGGATGATGACGAGTAAGTCATATTCCACATGCATAGGTCTAGAATTTCAGTGAAATTCATGATTGTGATGCTAAATACTGATTGTAATGTTCAGACATACTAGGAAAGTTACTAGTTGACAAAAGTGATGGCCTCATCAAACTTTCACGTGCGATTCAAAATGAATATAAGATTTCAAATTTCACGCTGATACTCTCTGGTAATGGCCACATGTTTAACGAGCTGTGATTTTGTATTATATTTTTCTTTTGTTGAGTTTTTTCAAAGTGTTAATCTGAAAAGGAAGTCACCAGTTTGAAAGTAGTGCCATAAAGGATGAGAAAACTGCTTTCTGATAAGCCTAAGGCGACTTCTTGTCAGTCATTTCGTTGGTTGGGAAAGGTTCACAAAAGGTCTTTCTGACGTGACGTGTAATGGGACGTCCTCAGATCTCTGTGTAGTAGCAGCGAGCACTAAGATCTGATGTAAATAGATTTGGGGGATGGTGACTCTCATACTGAAGACCTCAATGACATTATTTGTGACAAAATGCCTACTGATATCAATCACTACAACCATGGATCTCTGTACAGTGCACAACTTACCTAACGCCACACATCTGGTGAACTGGTCAATGGCACTCTTCGACATGTTGTAGGCCAACACACCTGGAAACTAAGACAGGATATCATCATCATCAACATCATCACCTCCTTGTACAACAAGACAGAGGACATCATGGCACACTATACCTACAGTGAGTCAATAAATCGAGGCTTAGGCAGGTGTTTTGCAAAGGTGGTCAGTAACATATAAAGTGATAATGTCTGTCATCATGAACATGGAGGCCAGTTTGAGTTTAATAAAAAGTGTGTCATATGCTCTACCCGTATATATTCACTGTTGTAGCTCCAGATGCTGCCATACTAACATGTCAACTGTACCGTCGTAGGCAGTAGGTATTTCTCATCTTTGCCTCCGAGCCAGACAATCCTTTACTTACTATGATGTCTTCAGCTGGTATGGGGTAACACAAATTGCCTTCTATTGTAAACCACTAATCATGATGCAAATGGCCATGATGTATTCAGCTGGTATGGGGTAACACAAATTGCCTTCTATTGTAAACTACTAATCATGATGATAATGGCCATGATGTATTCAGCTGGTATGGGGTAACACAAATTGCCTTCTATTGTAAACTACTAATCATGATGCAACTGGCCATGATGTATTCAGCTGGTATGGGGTAACACAAATTGCCTGCTATTCTAAACATCTAATCATGATGATAATGGCCATGATGTATTCATCTGGTATGGGGTAACACAAATTGCCTTCTATTGTAAACATCTAATCATGATGATAATGGCCATGATGTATTCAGCTGGTATGGGGTAACACAAATTGCCTGCTATTCTAAACATCTAATCATGATCAAAAAGACGTTAAGGTCTTCATGGGATAGGCATAGAGTGGGGTAAAATGGGGTTAACATCACATTCAAGACTATTTCACTTATTGGAGACTTACAACGACATTCATGTACATTAGTTTAGTTTATGAATGCTTTGAACTAGCATACCACACTTTAACATAGATACCCTATTCAGAATGACTTAGAGCCGACCATTTGTTTTACACCCTTAACACTAGTGCTGCGACGATACACCAACTGTGCGATCGAATACGTATCAGGATACCTTGCTCACAATCCGATACGTATCACAATACTTGCATGTGCACATTTCTGTGGTGCGTGAGCCATGTTTCTCAAATACATGGCACACTAACGATTTACAGTTGGCAGTCTCAAATATGGTGCAATGGATGAAAATGTTTACGTTTTCACTTCTCATTTTCATTAGTAATTAGTGTTTAGTGTAAAATTTATTGAAGAATATATTAAAGTTAAAAATTGATACTTTTTACTTGCGATTCTGATCGATACCTGTATCGAGAAGTAAAAATCGCCCGATGCATCGGTGTATCGTCCCATTACTACTTAACACTAATCTCTTAACATCTATTTGCATCACATGGCCAGGGACTGAACCATCAACCTTACGTTCATAGAGCAGACACTCTATCCACTACACCACAGAGGCAGTTCTTGGGGTATGGTGTCTTACATAGAGGGTTTAGGTTATATATTAGATACATACTGATCTCATGCCGTTGACGCTGGAGACGTTGACAATGTTGCCCTTGGTTTCAGTAAGGTATGGCACTGCCAACATCGTCAGGTGGAAGACCGACCTGATAACAAGAAACATCCTCCAATAAAAACATGTTGAAAAAACATTGAAATAATCAATATACATCAATCAGCTGATCTGAGACAAGAGAGTTAACTGTCTTTAAAAGTCCAGTTTCCACCCTTGCCGAACTAGGCTGGAATTCCTGGGTTCGATCGTAGCACCACCAGTGTCTATTACGAGTTATGTCCCCTCTATGCCTCTCCTATGAACCAATGAGATTCCACCTCTCGTATCACTTGCATTTGCTTCAGCCAAAACTGCAGCGACCAGTCAAGATGATCTGATCGATAATCAAGATCTATATATTGTGATAAAACGAGTCTTACATCTTGAAGTGCATCAAATCACGTGAGCACCTAGATTAAAAACATGAAAAGATTTAGAAAATATCTGTTGACAACGAGTTAGCGATGCACATGTTTTGCAAATCCTGCAATCGACCGAAATCTGCATGACAGTTTACGAACCGGATTTCGATTTCTGAGCGCGACTTTGATTGGACTATGCATAGACTCGTTAGTCCAGCCAAAATGTAACTCCATAATACCAGCCTAGTTCGGCAACGTTGGAAACTGGACTTTTATAGTCAGTTAACTCATTTGCCTTGGGAAGATGTAACCCTTATTGCATAAAGACAAAGTATCACTGTTAATACACACCTTATTTCTAGACCAACCATATCAGTACAAACATGGTTGACAGGAAGTTGAGCTTATTCCCCATTTAATATCTTGACATTGGACTGAAATCTGTGACAACATGAGCGAGTGAGTTTCGTTTGAGACCACTTTAAACAAGGTGTGGGAGAAAAGCCTGAAGTGATGTAGGTCTTGGACATTTACCACTTTGGTGAAACCCACAGTCAAGTATGGGACGTCAAGGTTTTACCATGACTTACAGAAATGGGGGTCCTCGAGACCTCCAATAATAAATTTTGAGGATCCTGATTGGCAATATGATGTCCTGTAAAGTAATGAAATGGTGTAATCTATTGTATCTTTTGATTATTACTTTAGAGACCGGAATGAATAAATGATCAAGTGGACAGTGGTGATGATTGATGGATGAATTGCCTGACTCCAATAACTGCCTTTGATGTGCTGTAGGTACACTGGATATTATTGTGGGTGCCTTGGGATGCAGTATATTGTTTTTCTGCATTCATTATCAACATTTGTGCTTCTGTAAAACCCTGATATGGTGTTGACAAACTTGGATACATAATCAGGCTGAACACATGATCTCAGGTTTCTGTCATGGGTAAGGGATGCTTCCTAACACCATCTTAAAGGACAGGGCTAATGACAGGAACACCCACAATATACACCTGACTGGCCCATCAACACTATTTACAAATGGCATGTCCATAATTGTTTCCTTTATCAACAAGGAAACTGTTTGTATTACATGCACACACAGGTGCAGTCCCGTCCCCATCTTTCCCTGACTGCATCACAGCTGTGTCTCTAGTTACATTATTATTAGGTTTAATAACAATCACTTCCCACTTGGTAAAACACATATCTTACGCAAGACACCTTTGAAACAGAAAGTCCTGTGCCTCTAACTATCTTATCCAGAAAGTTATAAGCACTTCGGGTTGAATGACATGACTTCCAGTTCATACTGAAGTACCATATTCACATGATGTAGCCACTATAGTCAACATGTCATGTACCTCTCTTTCTAGTGTACCATATACATCTTTATATGTATTTTACACCCGCGATGACTCATTTTACAATAGACAGAATAATATGGTCTTATATTTCTAACTATGATGACTGGTATGTATATTGCAACTGAGTAACTGATTGTTGATAGATTCATGGAAGATATGCATTTGGTATACAGTAAACTACGTTTATAACGAACACACTTATAACAAACTGGCGGATATGATGAACTGATTTTTTTATCCCAGCCACTTGCTGTATATATGCTGTACACAGGGATGTGAAATATCTGCGGAAACGCGGAAAATCGCGTCTTTAAATACAGTAGTCCTCTGAAAAAATAATCTTCTGCATAAAAATGTAACCAAAGATTTAAAAAGAACACGCCGAAAAATATGATCGAAAACATGACAAATGTTGCGGATTGTCCTGTTTTTGACCAGAGCTTTCAGCAGCATAGGTTTTCAGACATCACGAATACTTGCACTATAACGTGGGGTGTGGCGTCACACAGAAATTGTAAATACTCAGAGTCAGATGATGGCTTGTTTTTAAGATAAAGTTGTCTTTTAGCCTATAAGTGAATGAGATGTTTTACAGTTGTTCATGTGATTAGCGAGAAAACTATATATGTTTCTTCAGCGTCTGAAAACCCATAACATGGGGATATATGTTGTATTAATGTCTTATGTTTGCAGTGGAGTTTTGTTTTTTTCAACAAAAGGTAAGTAAGTACAAGGAAAGTTTTTTTCAATATGCTTCAACATGGGGAAAGGGTCAGACATTGCACGCTTGTGACAGTCGTCCTTGTGTCTGGGGGATGGGGGTTGAAGTTTATGGCAGTATTGCTCCCAGACCTGGCAGGTAGCTGGGTGGGCGGAGTACTGATTTAACTTCGAAATTTTACTGCTTCTGCCATCTTTGTTTATTTGACTTTTTGACTTCTGCCATCAACTTATTACATTTCCTGGTGTGAATGTTGTCCAAACTGCACGAAATAGCTTACAATTTTTTCGGGAAAACCTGCTCACATCCCTGTGTATATATATGCTTATAACGAACTACGGTTATAACAAACTAAAATTTGTGGTCCCTTTGAGTTCATTATAACCGTAGTTTACTGTATTTCTAAAAAACGTCCAATTTAGAAAAATTGAAATCAGATGTAAGAGAAAATGCGAACATCAAATTAACATTTAAAATCAGGTCTTTTACTCTTTCATCTTCAAATTAGTAAAGGCATGGATGTATAATAATAATGAATCCATGATAAATGCCACAAATGATGTCCAGATGCTGCAAATGTTGTCAAGGTCAAATCTGACCTTATTACCCAGAGTTCCCACTGGCTTTGGAAACTGCCAGTCAGCATTGACTGGCAACTCTAATAATTACCAGTCCTCACTAATTTTTGTCAGTTCCAACTTTCAACATATACTGAACCGCAAAAGAAACGTCACCCCAAGTAACATTGCATGAAAAGTTGTCATTTAAATATCTGCATAATTATTGTCAAAGTTTCTCAAATTCAACATTACCTTGTCCGGACAAAATGAATTTTGATGATAAAAAACAAAGCAGATGACAATAAAAGCGATTGCCTAAACGCATCACGCCAACGGCCATGGTAACCTGATGCACGTGAGTTCCGTGCAAATTGAAATGCACATGCGTTCCCCTATTTCTTGCACTATAAACATCCACCCAGATCGGATAACATCTCCGTGTGCGAAATACGCTAAAAGTCGGAAAGCGCACGTAAAATCTCCAATGTAAGTAAGATAACATTCATTCGTTATATTGCTACCACATGCCAAGACTGACAAGAAATCAGCGACACCAAGCCCTTGGACGATTGCAAGCTGGACAAACTGCCTGGCAAGGAGCCAGTGCATTTCAAGTCCACGTAAGGACCATTTACAGGCACCAGCAACGGTACCAGACCACCAGCACTACAGATGACCGACCACGTAGTGGGTAAGGGTAACCACCTGACGTCAGGATCGTCAGATTGTGCGACAGCATCTTCAAGATCGCTTTGTTACTGCTGCAGAAACTGCTCAACAGACCATGGGGACACACCAGCAACACATTAGTGTAGACACCATGCATCGAAGATTGACAAGCAGACACCTCCACTGTCACAGGCCCTACCGAGGACCCATTCTGACACCACGTCATCGCCGGGACTGTCTTCAGTAACACAGCACCGGCATTGGCACCAACAGCAGTGAAAAAGAGTCCTCTTCTCAGACGAGGGCCGTTACTGTATCTCAACAGCAGATGGGGAATGTTATTTGGATGCTTGTGTTGTTGAGAGAGACTCCTTGGGTGGTCCGAGCATCATGGTGTGGGGTGGAATTGGTCTTGCTCAAAGGGTCGGCCTTGTGGTCTTCCAGAACATCGGTACAAGGAGAGGCAATGGTGTCGCAGCAGCTCGGTACATTGATCAAGTCTTGAGACCACACGCCATACCTCATTTGGCACGTCGCTGCAACCACGAGTTTCAGCATGTTAACGCCTGTGCCCACACTGTGAGAGCAATAAGAGACTTCCTCCAGAAGAATGGCATCAGAACCATGCAGTGACCTGCCCTCAGTCCCGATTTAAATCCCACTGAGCACCTGTGGGACGAGATTCAAAGACGGCTGAATGATGTCCGACCAAGGCCAGCGTTCCTCAGAGTGTGGGTTCAAGTGCCTATGGCCTTCATGAACCGCCTCATCCATTCCATGTATCAACGTTGCACTGCAGTCATCAATACACATGGCGGACACACGAGATACTGACTTGTGATGCCATTTTCTCAGAGACTAGTGTTGTGTTTCACTTTAAGAACATTTGACACTTTATTTTCAACCTTGATGATCAGTTTTGCCAAGTTTCATCTTTTTAATATGTTTGGACAAATAAGGTTCCTTACATATCTATCCAAGGTGACATTTCTTTTGCGGTTCAGTATATATAAAAATGTATGAAAATTACCTGGGTTTAATTCTTTCAACATCATGTTCAATGCAACAGATGTCATCTATTAAGTAACTTAGCTAGAGCTACACGTCATTCACACGAAGTTCAGTCACAAGTTTTTCTTTTGTTTGAATGTTTTGAGGCTAAGTCACACAAATATATTTAACCTCGAAGCAAGCAAATCTTATTTCCTTGTACTAAAAAAAGACAGTATGAAACGCTGATGGTAACAGACAAGCTGAATTTGTTTAACAAAAATCTTATATGAATATCACCCATGTTTTTTTCAACAACAAAGTTTTATAAGGTACTTTGTTTGCCGGTCCACAGGGACTGGCAGTCACATGAATTA